AGACCGTTGAGGTCACAGATGACTTATAAGAATGGTGAGAGCCTTGAGAATCAGAGTTAATGTGTTAAGGTGCCATTTTTTCAGAATCTCAGAACTAATATCTTCCTCACAGGTTGTCTTTTATTATCTGTCAATTCATCCCCCACAAAACATGGGCCAGTACTGCACCAGGTACAAGTGTACAATGAGGAACAAGAGGGCATGGTCCCTGCCCTCTTGGAGATTAAAGTGCATTCAAAGAAACAATATTAACCGATACAATTATGGAAAGTATTATTTTATTTCACCTGCAACAAGTGTTATGAAGGAAAGTGCATTGGGAACATATGAAAGGCCAATCTTACCTAATTTTCTGGGGGAACTGAATGAAGTAGCTTGTCATGGGAGCATGTGGCATATCTTATGCTTAATATGCACCAACTGATACTAAAAGAAGTCTTTTTGCTTTAAAGCTGAAGAAACTTAGGCCCAGAAAAGTTCAATGACTTGCAGTGTGTTGTTAGAAAAGCCAGGATTATAATTTAAATCTTAGTCCTCTTTCGTGTTCTTCTCTAAACTATACTAACTCCCATAATCACACAAACACACGCACACGCAAGTACGAATCTCTACCTATATCTATATCCACATCTATATCTATTTCTGTATACACATATATGATGTATCACTTATATTATTAAAAAGTATAGTTTATGAAATATGAGTCAGTTTAAATTTTGGATTGCACCCATACATGAAGAAAACATTGTATATAATCCTGTCTCTTTACCTATATTGTCATTGGCCACCCAGGTTCTTTCTAGAAATGGATGAGTTATACATCATTAATTATGGAGTGGTTATTTTATCTGTGGCCTGGGGATTCTCAGCTCCTGAGCCTTTAGGAAATACTCCAGTGATGGTGTTACCTTTGTTGGGGCTATCTGTGTCACAGGCTTCCCTGCAGGGCTGGAGAGGATTTTCATGGTGAGAAAATTTTATTTACTTGCACAGCCCTCACCCCTGGTGACTCTCATGGCTCCATTGCCCAGATGTCAGTTATGACGGTCTCTGCAGGCCAGCCAGGGCTCCTCATACTCAGTGAAGAGGTCTGCTCTCTAGCATTTACAGCCTCTCCTCTGAGTTGGGGCCACTCAGGAAATCCATGTTTACGTGTACAGGCAGTGCCTTCTCTTCACTGTAATGTTGTTCTGGAAAAAGCAGTTGAAAAGCAGATTGCCAAACAGCAGGTTTAATTTTCCCAATAATGTTATCATTGGTTCTTTGTTGGTGACCAAGGATTCTGCATCAAACCAGTCAAGAGGAAGACCAAAAGCAGGTCTGAAAAGCAAAGGTACAGCTATCAACCACCACTAATATTTGAGGTTAATACGTTATGCTTACTTCCAAATCTGGAAAAACAATCATAAATAGATTGTGTCCATTTTTTATTGCAAGGGGCATCTTATGCCGTAAGTAATACATGCAGGACATGAAATTTAACCTATGTCATTAGGCTGACAATATTTTTCTTACTGTGGAAAGGGAGAAAGCAAATGAATTTGGGGACCAGGTGCATCAAGTGTGAATTTTGGCTTTATTACTTCTAGCTAGATCACTTAAAGTTAAATCTCTTCTGAGACTTTTTTTCTTCCTCTGTAAACTGGGAATGATTTCTACACTAAGGGCATATTATGAAGATTTAAAGAAAGTAAAGAATGTAAAATATCTAGCACAGTGCCTAAGTATTTTTTTTTTTTTTTTTTTTTTGTGGTACGCGGGTCTCTCACTGTTGTGGCCTCTCCCATTGCGGAACACAGGCTCCGGACGCGCAGGCTCAGCGGCCATGGCTCATGGGACCAGCCGCTCCGCGGCATGTGGGATCTTCCCGGACCAGGGCATGAACCCATGTCCCCTGCATCGGCAGGCGGACTCTCAACCACTGTGCCACCAGGGAAGCCCCTAAGTATTGTTGACATTCAACAAATATTAATTTTCTTAACTCTGCATTTTCCCTTTATTTTTCAAATGTACAATGTCTGGAGGATGGTTTGAATGAGTCAGATCTCTGACAAAAACTACTTTGATAATTTTGAATGTCTTGTGGGAAGAATATTTTTAAAAGTACTAAGCTAGTTGTTTTTTTTTTTATCTCAAGTTACCTCTAACAGTTTCTACAGTTTTTGTAGCCCATGGTTAAATAATACATAATCTGATAGGAAAACACTGTTAATTTGCAAAAAGAAAAAAAAAAAACATGAGAGGGAAAAAATATTTCTTGAATCTGGATTTTACATGTAAAGAGCCAAGCCAGAAAAGTCCCAGCAAAGATTATTTATCGACCATGGATTAGAAGGATGGAAATAAGAAATAAGAGCAACTCCTGCCATACCAGGGCAGGGGTGGGAGGCATGTGGAAATACCCCAAAAGGTTTAGGAGATAGCAGGTAATAGATGCTAGGAAGTGGCATGGGAAGGATGTAACTTCATATTTGGCAAGGTGCATAGCATTTATGTCCATGTGGCAGGACAGTGTAGAGAAGCAATGCGAAAGGGAGATGCCTGGGTGAGTGGGGTGGGTGCGGGAGGAACCCTGATCACTTCAGCTTGGTGAGAGTTTCCTGGGCCCCCAGAGAGAAGTGTGAAAGAGTTGAGTGTTTTGACAGACCAGAGGGACTGTGGTTGGGCTGAGAAGGTCCTAGACTACAGACATCTTATGATCAGAGTCCATAGTCAATGGACATCAGTAGTGGAGGCCAGTGCCATGACCTCAAATCCAGTTTGGGGAATCATATCCAGCTGATACCAGTGGAGGGTGCCCAGAGTCTGGGGCCAAGAAGGTCAGTTAGGTTCTGGATTCCAGCCTCCAGATTTGATATTCCTCACTCCCTAACCCAAAGATGCCATGCTTGGGAGCTACCCCGCTTTCCCCTAGATGCCACTGCAGGACAGAAGGGGAGTGGAGAACCCTGAGTGGGGTAGAATAGTCCTGATACTGAAATTGAAATATGCATTGCTTCAGCTTATACCTTGGTGGTAAAAAAAACTCCTAAGTTTAAAAAAAAAATTAAATTTCTGAAAAAAGTTTTTTGGAGGGAAGGAGCATTTAGAAAGAAAATTAAATTCTGTTAGAAAAGTAGGGAATTCCCTGGTGGTCCAGTGGTTAAGACTCCAAGCTTCCACTGCAGAGGGTACGTGTTTGATCCCTGGTCAGGGAACTAAGATCCCACATGCTGCACGCTGCACGCTGCTTTTTTGTGGCCAAAAAAAAAAAAAAAAAAAAAATCCATTCCTGGCCATTTGATTTTTTGAGTATAATTTTTATACCTGCTCCAGGCATAGGACTTCATTCCTCCTAAGCTGATCAGCAAGAGGAGGATATCCAAACCCTTCATGAGTATAGTGCATAGCATCTTTTAGTATGAATGCCTGTTTACTTGCCTGTCTCCCCCACTAACACGAAGGAACCTGAGGCCATAACTGTATGCTGTTCACTTTCCCCAGTTTGGATAGGACTTGGCATATGGCAGGTGCTCAATAAATATTTGTAGAATCATTTAATGTCACTGGCTTTATTGCTGACACATGAGATAGATGTGCCTTTTAAAAAATAACTGGTAGGAATCTTTTGCATGACCAAACTGTACACAAATGCATCTATAAACATATATTAAAATTGAACCAGTCTCATATTAGGAAGGCTGAATTGAATGGAGCAAAGTGACCATCCTGTGTAAGCAATGAAGTTCCTAGAAATCACAGTGCTTTTTACAGAACAAGATTGCATATTACTATGTTCAATTTAAAATTAAAAAAAGCATTCAAGCTGTGCTAAATCAGATGCCATCTTATACTTGATTCTAGTATTGACCAGAATTGTAGGAACCAACAAGTATAAAATAACTAATAAAATTCAGAAAGTTCTGTTTACTAAATATAAGTGCTTTGCAAAGTACAGTAGGCAAACTAGTGGTGGAATATGGATAATTTTAGAGGCACATAGATGAACATCTTAATAGTTATTTGTGTGTTTTAATGAGTATTAGAAAAAATATGACCAGCACAAAAGCCCCATGATATCACAAATCTTATTGCTTTGGGTGAAGCTAAAGTAGATATCTGAGTATAAGAGGTATGTTGATTTGAAGAACAATGTGAAGTAAAGAGTAGCACAGGAGGTACAGTTTTGGCAAAAGGCACAAAGGAAGCACTGAGATCACAGAGGTTTGGCATGCCCAACATTAACTGTTTTTATTAAAAAAAACTTCAATTATTTCCCAGTTGGTTTATTTTGAAGTGGATTAGACAGAGTGGATGGATTGCCTGCTTTGTAGTTTCCTGGTTCTCATCAGGGGGTAATTTCCCCTGATGGAGCAAGTCAGGGGGCTAGAATCCTCATCTCTTACATGCAGAGGGTTGGACTGAGCCAACAGTTTCGAGACTATATTCCTTAAAACTAGGGTTCCATACTTCCTGATTTGCCCAGGGCAGTCTCAGTTTCCATCGGTTATCACAGCATAGTTATTAATGGAGTCTCTTTTCATGCTCAAGTGTCCTGATTTGGCAATATATCATATGGCCCCTTTACTTGGAGCCAACTCAAAGCACTCCAAGCAGTGGGTACAGGGCTGAGCATTAAGGAACATGAGCAGGCATTGCTCAGGAGCCCCTATTTCACATGGAGCAGTTATACTTTTATATGGTAGGGTTTTGCATAAGATCTCATTTGGGGGACAAAAAGAGGATTATAAAAATAACAAAAACAAAAACTAAAACTGCTTCACAAAATGAACTTCAAGTTCCTTTCTCTCTCCAGCTCAGTTTGACTGAATTCAGTGTATTCAGTCCCTGTGGGGCTGTCTGGAGATCTGAAAGTGAATGAGAGTGCAGTGATTTGCATCACTGTGTGCAAAGTCTCAGGAAACAGCAGGCTAACTTTCCAGTCCACTGTCAAGGAGGAGAAATAGCAGAGCATTGTAGTGTTAGCTTTTCTCTCCTAATCGCACTTCTTTTGATTCTAGGTGTCGCCAGCACCAATAGACTGAAGATGTCTGCAGAACATCAGCGTTCTTCCTTCACAGTTAAAACTCAGGTAACATGGCTTTGTGAGATTAAGATAATCTTAATCTCAGGACTTCTTTGATATTTCACATCTCTTTTTAAACATCAGTATATAAAGCTGTATTTCATAGGCCACAGGGGATAAAAATAGGGTCATGACAACACAAGACAATGTGTCTCTGGCTCTGCCTTCTCTATGGAAACATCAGTTGCTCTCAATTTTTTCTGTACAGTTTTAGGAGTCCCCAAGAGGAGTCTCCCATGTAATTCAGAGACTGGCTCTCCAATTGGCCAAATGGGGTCTGCCATTTCTCTTGTTGTGTTGATGTCTGGTTGCTAGTGTCCCTGCTGGTGGCAGTTATGCTACCAAGAGGGCCGGGGTGGAAAGAGCATCAGCATATGATATCAGATTCTGCTCACACAGAGTCATCATACTTCCATCATACTTTCATCATACTACCAGAAGACTCTGGCTTCAGGTTGCCTAGAACAAAATCCTAGCTTTGCCAGTTGGTAGTCATCCAGCTCCTCAGACATCAGTTTCCATGGGGGAGACAATGATACCTGCTTGACTGGGCTGTTTAAGAGAGACGATTGTGTAGAGTTTAGTACTTTGCCTTCATTAAATGTTAGTTATTTCTCTTATTACTACTATTGTTTTGAGTCACTCCCTCCACCCTTCTCTGGACCACTTCTCAGAATACTTTTTAGTGTCTCATGTAAATAAGTTTCTGACAGACCTGCCGCATAGTTCTTTCCCTTGAATCCTAATGAAAACACAGCTTAGGCTTAAGCTGTGTGTCTGCAAATAATTGATTAAATTCCAATCATTTAGAAGTTGAGCTAAGTATTTAAAAAGGTACTTTATTACATTTATTATATAAATTAACTTATTTGTTTATATTATTAAACAGATGATACAAGCACATGATATATTTAGGCAATACAAAAACATTTCCAATGAAAAATGTACCTCCTCCTCTCTCTATATCCTCAGCCTCACTGCCTTGAGGCAACTGACTTCAGCAGTTTCTTGCATGTTCTCCCAGAAGATTTTATGCACATACGCTGATGTACATGTGTGATTGGAACAGGTCTGGGTTTGCTTCATCATTTTAGTGTAATAAAAGTCTCAGTTGCCAAGTACGAAGATTGATAGTAAATGAAATCTGCCATGCTTGAGGGATTTGCCTTCCTTAGGGTAGTGTAAGACTCTTAGGAGGTTAAAGGCTATGGGAAGTGAGGAAAGCTGGGTCCTAATAACATTGCCGGCGCCCACCATTATGACTCCTGCTGTGGCTGCTCCATGCTGCTGGCCATTACTGGTCCTGCACATGGGCTCGGAGGTGGCTGTCATACCCTTTCTCTGCACTGAGCCAGGCTCAGCTACAGAGACCTTCCCTGCTTCTCTCAGGAACATATGGCTTAGGGTCTATGATCCATAGATATTTAGCAGTCAGTATTCCAGAAAGTTATCTGTAAAAACTTGTGAACCGCTACAATATTACTTAATCTCAGATAAGCTATCTCTCAGTTGGAGCTTTCCTTCTCTTTAATGCAAAGCCTGAGCTTCCATCCCTTCTGGAAACACTCAGAAGTATCCCCTACATGCCTAGAAAGGGCTGGTGGGATTTGTCTTCCCTAATCCAACAACTTTTGATTTTGGCTGTAAAACCAAGAGCTCCTGACAATCCTGTAGAGCAAGAGTGCCGTAAAATCCTGTCTGTGAGAAGAAAGATGTATTAGGAGCAAGGAATACAAACACAGAGACAGTTATTCCCTTCAAGTAGTTTACTGTCTAGAGTAGAAGAAAGACAAATGAAAGATTTTAAGCAGTGTGCAAAGCATCAGCGTAAAAGGATGAACAGATACAGTGAAACAGTGGAGATCTCAAAATTAGATTTGGGGAACATCCTGGAAGCTTCGTGGAAGAAGTGATGCATAGGTGCAAAATTTTTAAAACATCGTTTAAAAATAAGGCATTTTTGTGTAGCATGAAATGTTCAGACATCAGTTATATAAACTTGAGCTGGAATTCTGGGCTGTACCATTTGTCAGTTGTGTGACACTGGGCAGGTGATATGCACATTCTTTTAAAGTTTTGTTTCATCATCTATAAAATAGTGATGAAAATAGTACTGATTTCATTCTGTTATTGTGAAAATAACATAAAGCACATACAGTTCTTAATCTAGTGTCTGGAACATATTTACTATTCAGTAAATAACTATTTGTTATTACTTTTATTGTTATTATTTCACACATTAATCAGTATGTGATCTAATCAGATTTTCTAAATATTTGGCCTTCTCTGTATTTTCAGAAATATTACAGAAATGCTTCATTCTTTTATCAGAGGAGGTTTTGGGGTAGAGGTCACAAAATGCACTTGGGTGTATGAGGAATCTATGAGAAGGTGCCAGAGAGGAGGCTGTGTGGGACCCTGGGTGAATGCCAATCAATCGGGATTTTAATCTGGAAACCTCCCTGTAATTTGGAAATGACTCTGGAAGCCAAGGTGGGAAGGGGTGGGGCTGCTCTGGGATTTCAGCATCCCTAACTACTTCAAATCTCTTCCCAGCTTGAGTGCATTGCAACATCAACAATGAGGCAGGCGCCTACCCCACCTTCTCTGGATTATCTTCTCCATCTCCAGAAAAACACAAACAGAATGGAAGGAAGGAAAAGGCACAATGGGCAAAACATTAGGAAACACTTTCCTTTTAGAGTTTCTGGCAGCGAGCAAGCTTTTCTGTTTTGGGGTACAGTTATTTGGACATTTAAAATATCATAGGGTCATAGAAGGAAAGCTTTATGGAGATCTGACAAGACTAGTCCATCTGTCGATTTTATAGATGAGAAAACTGAGACCCAGACAAGTCCACAGAGGAAATGAAAAGAATCAAAGTTGATGAGATCTGGAATCAATTATCTGAGGGGTTTCTAGAGGGAAATAGCAAAAGGCTGACTGAGGACCAATGGGTGGTAATGTCAGGGGACACATTTTGTTCAATAAAGAAGGTTAATAACTTTCAAAGCTGCTCAGAGATAAAAAAGGATACCTTGGGAGGCTAGGCCACCACCTAATAGGAGTGTTTCAAAAGTTGTAGGGTGGAAGTGGTGAAGAGAGAAGAGGAATAGTGGGTCTGATGACCCTCTAAGAATCCTTTCAACTCTGAGCTTCTAATGTGTTTAAAAGCAGCCAAAGAACGTTAGGATCCTTTTTACTTGGTGATCCAGTAATTTACATTTCAGTAAATTCAGTACATTTCAGGTACTTTCAGTAAATACAAATAAACTTACCTGTATTTCTGGCTAACCCATGTTCTAGAGGTGGGAAATAGTAAAGAAGGGCATTTGGAGTTGAAACACTTATTGTCTGTATGCTTTTGGGAAAATCACTGGCATAGTCCCTGTGTCCTCATCTGGAAAACAGGCAGTTGTGTTGACTGAATAATGTAGCATATGTGAAAATGCTTTGCTAAATTGCTGAAATGATTAATAATACTTAAAGATGGAAAATAGCAGTGAAATATAGGACCACACAGGTTAAGACTTCTGTGTGCTGAAACTATTTATAAATATAATGATTTTCTTTCATAGCTAATTCAGGGCATAGCTAGAATTTCAAATGATTCATGACTTTTGTGTGTGTACAAACCAGAGATAATCCCCAGGTTTCCAGGTGAGAAGTTTTCTCTAGCTGGGAGGGAGCTAGGCAAGTAGGTCACCTTACAAGAGAGGAACTCTTGTAATCAGCTCTAGGATGACCAAAGTTTGTTGTGGCAGAAACTTCTTTAAAGTCTTTATAGTTAAGTTGAAATTTAGATTATCTTGTCCAACAATCTGGAGCAAACACCCTAGCTCCACCACTTATTAGTTAGGATAACCTTGGCCAAGTTATTTCAACTCTTTGAAAGTAGATATCCTCATCAGTAAAACATAATGGTTGTAGAATAGTGCCTGGAACATAGTAAAGTTTTAATAATTATAAGTGGTTGTTATTATTATTGTTGTTGTTGTTTATTTTATTATTAGAAGTTAGTGCCCAGAAAGGAGTCAGGATTTGTCCAGGGCCACACAGTGAGGTGTACACTATGAATAAAATCCATTTTTTTCCCTTGCAGATTATTTCTTTTTTCAGTACAGCCCCTTTGCTTTCTAGCTAGCAATCTGTGTTCATAGATTTCAGCTTGTAGAGGCCATTAAGCTACTGATCAAATTCCACAGCCCTAACCCAATTTCTACCAGCTTCCACTTGTACATCAACAGTCTCAAATCCTACTCAGACTTGTCAGTGCAGCTTAAGTCCGGCCACCTCCATGAAACCTTCCAGTATGTGGCCCAGAGAAATATTGACAACCCCCTACTTGGAAGCAGTGATCTTAAAGCAAGTCCAAGTCCTTTTGCAAGACCTGTCACTTCCCCTCTCTGGACTTTTATTTCCCCAGTTGTAAAATGAGAAGGATGTAAAAGAGTCAATAAACAGTTGATTGCTGACTGGGGGCTGGGCAATGTGCTAGACGACAGAACAAAAGATGATTTAGACCAGCTCCCTGTCCCCAAAGATTTTATAGTTTACTGCAAGAGACAGGAGAGGAAATGTGAAGTTGTATGGACTGTTATAAAAGTCTCTGCTCCCCAAGCAGTAGACTCTTAACAGAGATTTGAATAAGTAGGTGGGGAAAAATGAATGTACCAAGAGTGTGGGGAGTTAGAAAAAGTGGTATTCAATTTAGGTCTTCTTAACAGGGAAGGAAAGAGGAAAGGAAAGAAGGGTAAACAGCATGTACAAAGGCTCAGAGGTATCAAGGAGTAAAATAAAGTGGTTAATTATGGCAAAAAGTTTTGTGTGCTGGGGAAAATTTAGGGAGGGCAGTGATGGCAACAGAGGAAGTAGAGGAAGATGAAATTGAAACTGGTCTCTTGTCTCCCTCATTAGACTATTGGCGAGGGGAGGACAGAGATCTCAGTCACCACTCCTTCCTTTTTTGTTTTGTTTTGTTTTGTTTTTCCAGCAAATAGGATGTG